CTACTAAGCCAGGGAGTAAAAGCAGCTCTTCCTAATATATAGAAACAAACATTTTGTTTGAGTGAAACAAACACTGCTAATTTGAGGAGACAAAGAAATATGGCCCAGATGAAACAATGAAACAAATCCCAGGGGGGGAAAAAGAAACTAAATGAAACAAAGGTAGCCTACTTAGCAGATGCAGAGTTCAAAATACTGGTGATCAGGATGCTCAAAGAACTCATTGAGAGGAAAAAACATAAGGGAAGAAATGAAGGTTACACTAAGTGAAATAAAGATCACTCTCCAGGGAACTTACTTATAGTGGAGACGAAGCCAAGAATCAATAAAGTCAAAGATTTGGAACACAAGGAAGGAAAAAGCATTCAATCAAAACAGCAGGAAGGAATAAGAATTCAAATAAACAAGAACAGGCTTAGGAACCTCTAGGACATTTTTAAACATACCAATACCCAAATCATAGGGGTAACAGAAAGAGAAGAGGAAGAGCAAGAATTGAAGCCTATTTGAAAAAATAATGAAAGATAATGTCCCTAATTTGGTGAAGGAAATAGATATACAAGTCCAGGAGGCACAAAGGGTCCCAAACAAAATGGATACAAAGAGGACCACACCAAAACACATCATACTTAAAATGCCACAGGTTAAAGATAAAGAGAGAATCTTAAAAGCAGCAAGAGAAAAGCATTTCGTTACTTATAGTGGAATTCCCATAAAACTATGAGCTGATTTCTCAAAAGAAACTTTGCAGGAAAAGGGAATGGAAAAAGTATTCAAAGAGATGAAAAGCAAGGACCTACAACCTACATTACTCTATCCAGCAAAGCTGTCATTTAGAATGGAAGGGCAGACAAAGTGCTACCCAGACATGATAAACCTAAAGGAGTTCATCATCACCAAACCATTATTACACAAAATGTTAAAAGCACTTAGTTAAGATGAAGATCAAAACTATGAACATTAAAAAGGCAACAAATTCAAAATTAGCAGCAACTGAATCTAAAAAAGAAAAAAAAAACCCTAAGCAACAACCAGAACAGGAACAAAAGCATTGGTATGGAGATCATTTGGAGGGCTATCAGCTGGAAGACAGAGGAGGAGAATGGGAGAAATGGTGCAGGGATTAAGAAGCACAATTGGTAGGAGTCAAATAGGTGGATGTTATGAATAGCATAGGAAATGGACATGCCAAAGAACTTACACATATTACCCATGGACATGAAGTAAGAGGTGGGACTGCTGCAGGGAATGGCAGTACTGGGTGGAAGGCGCCAAAGGTGAAAAAATTGGGATAACTATCATCAATAAAATATACTTTTTTAACAGTATAGCTAATGGGAGACTTCCGCCAAGATGGAGGCATAGGTGGAAATGTTGTGCCTTCTCCCACAACCAAGTTTAAAAACAACAAAGTTTTAGCAACAAAAACACAGCCAAACCACAGAAAATTGAACTATACAAAAGTTTGAAAACAACGCACCTCTCAGCCAGACCGGTAAGAGGGGTGAAGCCAGCAGCGGAGTGGGGTCGGGCAGGAAAGGTCCACCAGATCAACCCACGCACACCACCCAGGTGCGCAGGCAGCCGTGGCCAGATCCCAGGTGTGGAGTAGCAACGGGCAGAACCACTGAGGGCACAAGGTGGCAGGCTGACCGAGGTCACACATTTGTGCGCAGACAAACCAGCGAAGGAGTGAGCAATGAGATGGACTGCGCAGGCCCCAGCAGCAGGAAGCAGCAGAGGGGACTGCTATTGCCCCCCTTTGACTCGCCCCCACGTACAGCATTACAACCCAGCAACCTGGGTGGCCCCACCGTGGTGAACACCTAAGGCTCCGCTCCTCCTACGTACAAGCACAAACACAGCAAAACATTATGGCTCAAGAACTCAAAGCCCCAGAGCCCGTAACTCTAAGCTACCAAGAAATAGCCGAACTTTCAGATGCACAGTTCAAAACACTGGTGATTAGGATACTCACAGAACTGGTTGATTTTAGGCACAAATTAAAGGAACATATGAAGGCTAAACTAATTGAAATGAATGGAAATGCACAGGAAACCAATAGTAATGGAAAGGAAACTGGGAATCAAATCAAAGGAGTGGACCAGAAAGAGGGAAAAAATGACCAAACAGAAAAGGATGAAAAAACAAGAATTCAGAAAAATGAGGAGAGGCTTAGGAACCTCCAGGACATCTTTAAACACTCCAACATCCAAATTATAGGGGTACCAGAAGGGGAAGAGGAACAGCCATGAGTGGAAAACTTATTTGAACAAATAATAAAGGAGAACTTCCCCAATCTGGAAAAGGAAATAGACTTCCAGGAAATCCAGGAAGCTCAGAGAGTCCCAAAGAAGTTGGACCCAAGAAGGAACACACCAAGGCACATCACCATTACATTAGCCAAGATTAAAATGCAGGAGAGAATCCTAGAAGCAGCAAGAGATAAGGGGACAGTCACCTACAAAGGAGTTCCCATCAGACTGTCAGCAGATTTCTCAAAAGAGACTTTACAGGCAAGAAGGGGCTGGAAAGAGGTATTCCAAGTCATGAAATCCAAAGACCTACAACCAAGATTACTCTATCCAGCAAAGCTTTCATTTAGAATGGAAGGACAGATAAAGTGCTTCTCAGATAAGATCAAATTCAAGGAGTTCATCATCACCAAGCCCTTATTATATAAAATGTTAAAGAGACTTATCTAAGTAAAAGAAGATAAAAAATATGAACAGTGAAAGGACAGCAAACTCAGTTATTAACAACCACACCTAAAACAAAAGCAAACTAAGAGGACAGCTAGATCAGGAGCAGAACCATAGAAATGAAGATCACATGGAGGGTTAGCAACAGGGGAGTGGGAGAAGGAAAGGGGGGAGAAAGTAGAGAGAATAAGTAGCATAGACGGTAGGTAGAAAATAGATAGGGGGGAGGACAAGAATAGTAGGGGAAATACAGAATCTAAAGAACTTGAGACACGTGGTCATAAACTAAAGGGAGGGATGGTGGGGGAGAGGGTGTGCAGGGTGGAGGAGAATGAAGGGGGGAATAGAACAACTGTAATGGCATAATCCATAAATATATATTTTAAAAAGTATAGCTAATTATTTTCATTCCAGAAAATTCTGAAGTGAAATGAAATTAAATTTATTATTAAGTGTCATATAAAGTAAATTTTAGGGAGAAAAGCAAAAGAAAGTATTAATTAGTACACAGTAGAAATTTGCCAGCTGTTTTCATTGCCAATACTAACATTATTTCTAGCACTATAATAAATTTCCCTTTTGGTAAAATAACCATTCCTTGACATAATGGATGAGAGAGTTGTCTAAAAGGTTTCTGTACATAATGTCAGCATACCCAGTAGCTCAAAGTCCACAAATCTTGGAGTTCTTTCAGTATGATCTCTCTTTCCACATCCAAACTATCCAAGAGTCTCATAAATCCTGACTCAGAAAAGTACATCTCAAATCCATCTATCTCTTTTTTGTTGCTATACCCTATGAGGCCACCACTATCTTTCACCCCGGCTCCTAAAACTGCCTACTTTCTCTTTCACCCTCAGACAATCCATTCCTTACACAGCAGCTAATATTATTTAGAATAAAGTATAAACCTCCTGCCAAACCCTTCAAAGCACTGCGTAGTTCTATAACCTTTTCCCACACTCACCTCTGCATCTCTACGTCAGCCACACTGTGACTTTTCCTGTCCCTCAAACTCACCAAGCTCTTTTCTCCTTCAAAGTCATTGTACCCACTATTTCTTCCTTTTATTTTCCCTCAGTTTTATTGAAATACTATTGACATATAACAGATGGAAGTTTAGGTGTACAAAGTAATGACTGAACACACATATATACATTACAAAATGATTACCACCATAAGGTTTACGATTGTGTATATGTGGTGATAACATTTAAGATCTGTAAGATCTATTCTATAAACAACTTTCAAGTGTATATTATAATAGTACTATTGTTTAATTATAGTCACCAGGCTATGCATTATATCCCCAAATGTTATTTATCTTACAGCTGGTAGTCTGTTCCCCTTGACCAGCCTCTCCCCATTTACTCCATTCTCCAGCCCCTGGCAACAAGCATTTAACTTCCTATTTCTCTCAATTTAGTATTTTAAGATTTCACATGTAAGTGAAAACATACAGTATCTGTCTTTCTCTTGTTTAATTTATTTCACCTACCATCCCTTTTAATGAGAATGCTTTCCCCACCAAAAATACCACACATGCACATACACACCCCACCCACTATTAAAATAGCTCCTTCATAGGACTCATATTAACCACTAACTCTTAGAAGAGCTTTTTGTAACCACCTCTCTAAAACAGCTCCTTATCACCAAATTACTTGCTTTTTTGCTTTCCTTAACAAAATTTATCACCATTTATAATTATTTTGCCAGTTTATTTTTAAACCTGTCCCCCCTTTACAATAAGCTATAAGAACAGGATATCGACTTTATTTGTCATTATATTCCAAAAAGCAGCAAACTGTCTGATACTTAATAGAAGCCTATCGATACACATCAAACAAATGAATGAAATAGTAAATGAATATACAACTGTATTAGAAAATGGGACTAATAACACTACTAATAGAAATACATAAACCAGGAAAAGGAGCAAGTGTTTAAGAAAAAAACTAAGGTATTTGAGTTTAGTGCCAGGCAGCTGAAAATAAAGGACTGATGGACACATCAGCTGCAAAAGACATATAGATTGAGATTCTGCTGATTACAAGTGTTAATTAAAAATAATAATGATGATTACATCACAAATGATAGAGAATTCAGTTAGATAAATAACAGATATAAAATTATTATAGCCTGCCTAGATAGGAGAGTAACGTAAATAGTACAACATCAGGACAAACTAAAACTTTCAAAAGAAAAAGTAATTATGTTAATAATTACTTACTAATATAAAAATAACTGCTTTATTTTTATTTTAGTAATTTACTAAGAAGAGTAATGTAATCCTACCTTCCTACTATTCATTGCTGATCATATCTTAGCTAAAGCAACAGGTCCATGTTGAGGGATTATACACCAGGGATGAGGAAGACACTTGATAAAATTTTCAATGAAGTCTCACAGGTATGATCACAGGTCTAGCCAGAAAACAGGAGCTACAAGAAGAAATTCAAAGAGTCAGAACTGTACACTACAAAAAAATTAATAAAAAAGGCTCAACTGGAAGTCAAATGTGGTATTTTCTCCCATTCACCACATTAAGAATAAGCATGCTATACTTACTTAACTTTATCCCCTGCTTACTCTCTCCCTTCTCTTCCCACAAATTTCCCAATGAGAAATGTATCTTACCTTCTCTTCTAAACTATTTCCTGAGTTGTGAATAGGTAAGTCATGCTTTTTTCCATGTTCATAGCATAAAACTAATTTCAAGTTTGAAGCACATCAGAAGAAGCAACTACACATGTTAAAATATTACGGCCTGAAGAAGTAACTAACTATGTGAGAAAACTTTTGCAGAAGCTGGGAAGGTTTGAGAAGGATTCTCCTGGCACACACATACTTTCTCTAACAGTATGCCAAAGTATGACCTTTGCATCGGCTATTCTCTCAACCCCTGAAACTAGAATTCCTAAGATGTTTCTTGGTCCTGGGCTCTCTTATCACTGATGTCAATAGAAGTATATGCAGTTTACAGACCTCTCCCAGTTTTTCATTTTCTGCCTCACACCCTCATATTTCTAATCCCAACTTCTTGGTTTATACTCAGTTCACCCCTTCTTTCAAGCTCCTAATTTTTATTTCCCTATTCTTTTTCGTGTCATTTCTCTTACTTCCTTAAATTTCATACAAATCAGAGGACATTTCATTGATGTTACCAGTAAGATTAATCCTTTCCTTCTGGTCAGTAAACTGACCAAACATGAAAATATCTCCCAATTCTCCTATTCTTTTATGCTTTTTACCCATTTTCAAAGGGTTCCTCCTTTGCCCCACTTCCCCCAGACCAGCATTTTATCCTCTTCTAAATTCAGCAAGTTTCTCAATGCTAGATATAATTAAAGTGTTATTATATCCCCCTACTTCCTCTGAGCTCTGACATGATTGAAGACAGAGACTGTTATCTTAATATAGCAGCATCCTACACAATACCTGGAACACTGCAGCTACCAAACAAGTGATTACTGAACGAATAAAATTCCAAGGTGAAATGCAGTCTTCTCTGATTTGGTGTAAGGTAAAGCTTTGACAAGAATTTTTATATCACTCTGAAGAAAAGAGCAGTTCCCACCTAGATGGAGGTGTAGGTAGAAACATTTCACCTCCTTGCACAACCAAAAGGAGGATAACAAGCAATCTAAATCAATAAACAACCAGAAGTGCCAGAAAATAAAACTGCATGGAACTCTGACAACCAAGGAATTAAAGAAACAGTCAACAAGACCAACCAGACCGGTAAGATGGGCAGACAGGCACACAGAGAGAATCCCAAGCAAGATGACAGACAGTGTGGTCAGGGCTGGCTGAACTCAAAATTGAGACTCAGAACTGACTGTGGACTACGGTGGGGTTGCCCCAGTGTGGTGGGGATTGCCACCGTGCAAGAAACTCCCAGTCTCACAGGAGGGTTTGTTGGAAAGTGGGCTAGAGCTGAACAGGCTAGCTGCATTGCTCCCTCTCTGGCCCTTCCCACACAGGCAGTGCTGCAGCACAGCAAGGAGGGTTGCCCAGCCCTGGCGAATACTTAAGGCCCCACCCCATTACAACTTAACAGGTGCCCAGAGACAAAGAAATAGGGCCAAAATCAAAGAACAGAGTAAAACTCTAGAAAGGGAGCTAAGTGATAAGTATGTAGCCAACCTACCTGATGGAGAATTTAAAGCCCTGATAATCAAAATGCTCCCAGAATGGATTGAGCTTGGTTGCAAAATGAAAGAGCAAATAAAAGATACCCAAAGTAAAATAAAGCAAAATATTTGGGGAACCAACAGTGATAGGAAGGAAACCGGGTCTCGAATCAATGATTTGGAACAAAAGGAAGAAATAATGATCCAACCAGAACAGAATGAAGAAACAAGAATTTAAAAAAGTGAAGAAAAGCTTAGGAACCTCTGGGACAACTTTAAATGTTCCAATACCCAAATTATAGGGGTTCCGGAAGGAGAAGAAATTGAAAACTTATTTGAACAAATAATGAAGAAAAACTTCCCCAATCCAGCAAAGGAAATAGACTTCCAGGAAATCCAGGAAGCCCAGAGAGTCCCAAAGAAGCTGGACTCAAAGAGGAACACAACAAGGCAAATCATCATTAAGTTACCCAAGATTAAAGATAAAAAGAGAATCTTAAAAACAGCAAGAGTAAAGGAGAGCATTACCTACAAAGGAGTTCCCATAAGACAGTCAGCTGATTTCTTTCAAAAGAAACCTTACAGGCAAGAAGGGGCTGGAAAGAAGTATTTCAAGTCATAAAAGGCGAGGACCTACATTCAAGATTACTATATCCAGCAAAGCTATCATTTAGAATGGAAGGGCAGATAAAGTGCTTCCCAGATAAGGTCAAGTTAAAGGAGTTCATCATCACCAAGCCACTATTATATGAAATGTTAAAGGGACCTAAGAAAAAAAAGATCAAAAACTATCAATAGTAAAATGACAACAAACTCACAACTATCAACAAAGGAACCTAAAAAAAAAAGCAATGGAAACAAAAACTAAGCAAACAACTGGAACAGGAACAGAATCAGAGAAATGGACATCCCACAGAGGGTTTTCAGTGGGGAGGGAGAGGGGAGGAACAGAAGGGAAAGGTACAGGGAAGAAGAAACATAATTGGTAGGCATAAAATAGATGGGGTTAGGTCAAAAATTGTACAGGAAACAGAGAATTCAAAGAACTTACAAGTACAACCCATGGGCATGAACTAAGGCAGAGGGAATGCTGGAGGGATGGAGGGTGCAGGGCAGAGGGGGAATAAAGAGGGACGAATTGGGAAACTGTAATAGCATAATCAATAAAACACACTTAAAAAGAATTTTGTATTAAATGATAATTCATGACTTAAAATATTTAAATTTGAAAACTAATCATGACTTATCTTTCATTCTGCATTCAACAGAGTATCTTCAATTGAACTCCCAGAAATAATACAGTAAAGAGTATTACTTCTAAAGATTTCCAAAGGAACAAAATATAGTAAGTGTATACCTAAATGTACACATTACATATGTTACCTAATCCTGCTCTAAAGACAGACCCCCCAGGCTCTGGCCAGGTAGTTCACCTAGTTAGAGTAGTCATTTCTGTACACCAAGGTTGCAGGTTCAATCCCCAGTAAGGTATGTACAAGAATCAACCAATGAATGCATAAATAAGTGGAACAATAAATCCATGCTTCTTTCTCTTTCTCTCTCATCCTTGCTCCCACTCTCCCTTCCAATCTCTCTCTAAAATCAATAAATATTTTTTTAAAGACAGACCCCCAAAATTACTGGACAATCCATTTAATTTGAAATTTTTAGCCCCCCTTCTCTATCAGCAAAGATAGTTGAAAGGTATATAGAATTCCATGTATTGATCCCTCACTGTGATAAAGAAACAGTTATTTTCAAAGGCCTAAAAACAAAATGACAGCATCAATAGGATCAAATAGAATCAAATAGGATTCCATGCCAACATTGAGCAGCATCAAGTGTCTTGTTCAAGAAGATAGCGTTCCCTTGTGTTATTAATGTATCACCTTCCAACCCAAGTCTCTTCTCTACATTATATTTTTCAAGGAAAAAGAAACAGTATTTTTTCTGCTTTATAATGAAATAATTGGGGTTAAAAATAAGTAACAACTTTCTTGGTAGAATCTCTAAATGGATCATTTTATTTGTTTAATCTACTATAAACCTATGATTTAAAATTCCTTGTATTACTTCAAAGGCATTATTATCCTTATCAAAACTCATCAAAGGTTTCTGTAGATGAATTAAAAATGTATAATAATGACTTTCTGGCGAACCTTAATCTTCCCCACCAACCTCCCCAACTACACAGGTAGCCATCTCTAACTCACACTCATAATCAAATATAGTTCCAATTCCTTAACTGTGCTTCTTCTCACAACTAGAACTAGAATGAAGCAAGGGGGGCACCTAGGGTGCAAAATTTATGGACACATTCACTCTTGGGGTCATGCAAGTGCCACTCTAAAAGTCTTATTTTGTGTCCTAGCATCTCTCATGCCTCAGCCTAATCCTGGTCCTACTTCTCTGTCCCACCAATACTCCTCTTACTTCTCTAATAAATAACAAACCACGATTTAATTCTAACAAACCAAAATTCTAAAATAAGGCAACAAATTTAAATATAATTTTGCATCCATTTAAAATCATGTTTTCAAGGAAAATCTCTTGTTCACAATGTGATGTTAGGTGAAAAATAGATGAGGCAAGAGTGCCTGTATACAATAAGATTTTTTTTCAAATGTGCATGAGTTTCATGGCATGTAAGTAATGGATCTGTTATTTTTCACTCCCTTTCTATTGGTGGCAGCATCTCAATTTTTTTCTGCTGACTACCCTTCTCTTCTTCTCAACCCACGTTGGGTGGCACTAATCATTACCACTTTCAAGTTCCTGGAATGGGCACAGAGTTCCTGTAATAGGTGCATGACCCACCCAGGTCTGTACAATCAGGATATTCCCTCCCCCAAGTGGTAGTTTAGGAATGGGTATGTAACCCAATAGTGCAACAGGGTGCAGCCAATAGGAGCACCCCAAACAGGGATTTGTAATGGGGTCCAGAAGAGCTTGGAGATGATTGGCTCCACACCACAGGGCCGCACCTGCCCGGAATGCTGGCAGCTGAGGCTGACTGTGGGAGGAGCCAGTAATGAGGCTGCAGAGGAAGATTGGCGCTGGGATTTAAACTCAGGCACTGCAGCCCTCTGGCGTCTTTTCGGGGACCACGAGGCTTGAGTGAGAGTCAGAACCACGAAGTTTTGGAAGTGCTCCCTTTTGCCACGTGGATGGTGCCGGGAGCCTGAATCACTGGACTTCTACTTCTTTCCTGAGATACAGTACCCTGGACTGGGCAGAGGGCAAAGGGAGGACTGTGTGCATTTGTCGGTATTCTAAAGATCTTTCGTCTGTGTAAGTTTTAAATAAAT